GAGAGGTGGAGGTTATTATGTAACACTAATCATTACACAGCATGTTTGCAGTCTACCAATAAAAGAAAAGAACTCGTCCAAATCAGCTCAGAGAAGGCAAGAGCATAATGCATGTTATCAGTGTGACTGACAGCTATAGAGGAACTGACTGAATGAATGTACTGTAACACAGAGAGACTGGAGCTCTTATGTTTGTCCTTGAAGAAGATGAGGAGGTTTCTGGGAAACGTTCAGCTACTGTAGGATTCGTCACACAACACTTAACCTTGAGTTCACGTCTGTTTTAAACTAACAATGTTTACAAATTCGTAATACTGTAAAAATGTTTTACATGTTAGAAAAATTATTAAATAAATATATAATTAGCAAATTATCCAATGCCACAATACAAAAATATGCATGCTTCTAACAAAACGCTTCAGTTTCATTATGTTTTTTTTTTCTTTAGATTTGGGGTGAAATATGTAGAAATATGTTGATTTTTTTTTAATGACCAGTTGAATAATTTAATGTTTAATCTTCTGATAACCATTTTTTTAATTATTATATTCTACACTTCCATATAAACATTAAATTGATCAAAAGTGACAGTAAAGACATTTATAATGTTACAAAAGATTTCTATTTCAAATAAATGCTAATTTTTCCACAAAAATATAAACTATTTTCAGAAATGTTTCTCGAGCAGCAAATCAGCATATTAGAATGATTTCTGAAGATCATGTGACACTGAAGACTGGAGTAATGATGCTGAAAATACAGCTTTGATCACAGAAACAAATGACAGTTTAACAGATATTCACATAGAAAACACTTATTTTAAATTGTAATAATATTTCAAATTTTTTACTGTATTTTTGATCAAATAAATGCAGCCTTGGTGAGCAGAAAATACATCCAATGGCACATAATCAGTAGACCATAGCAATAAAACCATTTTAAGAACTTAATAATAATTCATAATTCATAATTCATAATTAATATTATTTTATTATTAAACAATACGAATTTATAATTATCATTATGTATTATTATTATTATTAGTGTTATTATTATTACTATTATTAAAGGTAATAATGCATAATAATTAATATTTGTTTATTATTAATTGTTATTATTGTTGTTCTTGTTAATCAGTAATTTAAAAATAATTATTAATTATTGTTGTTTTGTTGTTATTATTAAAGTTATTATTATTTATAACAATATTAATTATTATTAATATATTAATATATTAATTAATTTTACAAAATAATTAATAACTATACTGAATAATTATTATTCAATATTAGTGTAGCTGTTAAACTGTTGTATTTATTATTGTTGTTGTTTTGTAGTTTTTATTGTTACTATTATGATTATTCATTTTATTATTATTAATTTATTTATTATTATTGCAATAGTATTGTCAATCACGTTTGCCAAAGTGTTCATTGCTAATTATCAATAAATGAACCATTATTGGCATACCTGATTGACAAATTAAGCAAAACTAATTACAAAGTATGAGTCAAACTTGTTAGAAGTATCTAGACATTTCTTCATGAGACTGATCCTGACTCGTTTCTCCACAGGAGACGATTCCAGCCGCGGTTCTTCATCTAAAGATCCGAGCGACGCACAGGTGCTTTATTACAAATCAATCAAGCTGTTTCCAATTTCCAGGTCTCTGCTGGTTTGATCAGAAGCACAGAGTGACTTACGCTCTCCTCTTTGACCTTCTCCATGGTGCAGGTGGGCAGCGGAGACAGCGGCCCCTGGCCCGAGAGGCCGTTCTGGTCCATGGCCACGAAGAGTTTGCCGTTGATGTTGAGACTCGGGAAGAAGAACTGCGAGCTGTGGCTGCAGGTGCTCTGAGCGCTGGTCCGTCTCCTGCTCCAGGGCAGAGCCAGCGCCCCGCTGCGGCTGTCCGAATCGCCGTGATTGCTGAACTCATCGTCGGCGAAATCCACCTCCGAGTCTTTGTTCGGCAGCCGGAAGTTGAAGATGCTGACCTGACTCTCCCGTCGGGCACGTAAGGAGAGAGTGCGGACCAGCAGAGAGTGCGTTTGCTGGAAACATAAGGATGAAATGACTTGAAGGGGATGACAAAATTCACTTCAAAAATACAATTTCACAAACTGAATAAATAAGCTTTCCATTGATGTATGGTTTGTTAGGATAGGACAATATTTGGTCGAGATACAACTATTTGAAAATCTGGAATCTGAGGGTGCAAAAAAATCAAAATATTGAGAAAATCATCTTTAAAGTTGTTCAAATGAAGTTCTTAGCAATGCATATTACTAATCAAAAATGAAGTTTTGATATATTTACGGTAGGAAATTAACAAAATATCTTCATGGAACATGATCTTTACTTAATATCCTAATGATTTTTGGCATAAAAGAAAAATTTGTTTTGGTGATTTCAAATATCAACATTGGCTACCAGAAATCACTTACTCTGCCTTTAAGACTGGTTTTGTGCTCCAGGGTCACAAATCTGTGTTGGCAGTGTTTGTACACATCCACCCTATAATGATAAAAATCCACTCAGTGTTTTTTTTAAATCCCCAAAACAATAACCCCTTACTCAAATCAAGCCGTTCTCAGATTCTTGGCTGAGTGACGTCACACAGACCCAGGCCCCTCCCACGATTGTTGATTGACACTGACGTTTTACCTTAGACCCGCCCTGAGTGAGCTGTCATCAGTCCGCCATTGTTTTGACACTGGTGCAGATGTAGACAAGAACGGCTCCTAAGCGAATTGAGGTGTTTCGTTGTTGGATGTAATAATGAAAATAGCAGTCGTCATTTACTCCCGACATCTGAGCCGCTGAAGACGCAGTGGATTACATTTGTTTCTGAAGGGAATGTGTCCCCGATCTACATAAATGCATTTATGTTCGTGTGAATCATTTGATCCAGCTTCACCTACAGAAGAAGTGAGTATTTTTTATGAATCTTTGCAAATCGCCTTTCCTAACAACGTGCTAGCTAGCAAATTCCGCGGCTAAAGTTTACAGTCTCATGAGAACGGCTCATCACCCCACGGAAGAGAGGGGCGGGGTCAGCAGAGCTCATTAGCATTTAAAGGGACATGCACCAAAACGGGTCGCTGTGAACACAGCTGATTTTGACATGGTAAAAAGGATGTTGTTTTACACTACCATTGAGAAATTTTAACCAAAGTATGTTATAGACTTTTCATTAAGACCCTAAAGAATCATATCAACTTGTGGAAAATGGGCATCCAGTGACCCCTTTAAAGGATAAGTCCACTTCCAGAATAAAAATTTCTTGATAATTTACTCACCCCCATGTCTTCCAAGATGTTCATGTCTTTCTTTCTTCAGTTGCAAAGAAATTATGTTTACGTCATTCCAGGATTTTTCTCCATATAGTGGACTTCAATGGTGGACAACGATTTCAGTTTCAATGTAGATTCAAAGAGCTCTACACGATCCCAGCCGAGGAATAAGGGCCTTATCTAGCGAAACGATCGATCTTTTTTTTTTTTTTATTAATATTTATACACTTTTTAACCACAGCTCAGCTTGCTCTAGCTCTGCGATGCGCATGCGCTTCTTCACACATTGCGCAATCATGTTGGAAAGATCACGCACGGTTAGTTCTTCGTTTCTGTACTTCGTTTAAAAACTCCATCTTATTTTCTCCTCCAACTTTAAAATCATCTGATATCGTTGTTTTACCTTTTTTGTAAAGGGCATTTCACTTTTTTGCATGTTCGCTTTGTAAACACTGGGTCGGTATTTCCGTCTACGTCACGCTAACCTTTCCAATATCACCTAATAAAGAGTTAATGCTAGCCCAGCATTTGTGGTTAAAAAGTGTATAAATTAGGGATTTTTTGGGGCCGATACCGATACCGATTGTAACAAACACTTATTGGCCGATTCCAATACCGATACCGATATTTGTCACTTCCTCTCTTATTTGAAATTTTTGGCATCAAAATAGATAGTATTTTGATCATGTTTTAAATCAGCAAAGCTCAAAAGCACCTGCAATAAATTATACTAGCAGTTTTATTGCTGCATCATCGAATAATTTCTAATGAACATGGATTGGATCCATTTAACATTGAGCAGGCCTACATAAATACAACAGAACAAAGATACATATTAAATAAACAGTGCTTTTTAGGTAGGTTTAACAGTTTTCAGGTACAGAAATAAAGTAAACAAATGTAAAATAACACATCACTGTATAAATTAAATACATATTAAGCCTTATTTATTGTAACAGACTTTATTATGATTAATCTTCTAATTTGTTTTTGTATACATTTTAATACTTTTTATAAGTTTAAATATGTATGAGATCTCCTTTACTAAGGCGTGACTCTTATTTTGACAGGTTTTCTAGTCTAGTCTACGGAGCAGCTATATCGGTAATGAATGCACGCAGTTCTTCGGATTTAAAGTTTGTCGGTTTATTAAGCACCCCCCGAAAAGTCATGAGATCTGTATATATTTGTTTACTGTTAGTTGTAATAAGTGTTTTGTGTAATTCGCTGTATGTTGATGATAATGCAACTGAGAGAGAGAGTTTAATGTGCACTTCTCGTGCTGTGTTTTGTTTAGCTCTTATGGTGATTTTTTTGGAGTGAAAAAGGACGCAATCAACTAAATAAAACATCAGTAAAGTTTTGGTCATCATTCAGATGAGGTCCGCTACACTTATTAAAGTTACAAAAATTATTTAGTTAAGAATAGTGTGCGATCTTTTGTCTTTTGTTATTTGATTAGCATTAAAGTGCAGACAGCAGCGCTAGGATTATGCAACAGATATTATACAGCTCAGTGCCTTCACGCAGTTAATTAATAAACCATCGGTTTGTTGTATCGGCCTTTTTCCTTATATAGCCGATATGCCGATGGTTGTAAATTGAGGAAAAATCGGCCGATAAATATCGGCGGCCGATACATCGGTGCTTCCCTATGTAATTTTTTTCAGAAAATGATCGATCGTTTAGCTAGATAAGGCCCTTATGTCTCGGCTGGGATCGTGTAGAGCTCTTTGAAGCTGCATTGAAACTACATTTTTAACCTTCAATCCGTTGAGCACCACTGAAGTGCACTATATGGAGAAAAATCCTGGAATGTTTTCCTCAAAAACCTTAATTTCTTTTTTGCGACTGAAGAAAGAAAGACATGAACATCTTGGAAGACATGGGGGGTGGGTAAATTATCAGGAAATTTTTATTCTGGAAGTGAACTTGTCCTTTAACTGGAGACATTTCCACAGAATAAAATGGCATACAGGTGAGTAAATGAGGAGTGATGAATGATTTTGGGTGATAAATCTACCTTCATCCCCTCTATAGTGTCCATCTTGGCTGATTTGTCGTTGTTGACGTCCTCCGTTCCTTCAGACAGCAGTCTCGAGCTTTTCCTCCGGTCCAGATTCCCTTTGTCTTGTGAGGAGAACGGCGACACGTCGGCCGTCAAGATGGACTCAGTTTCTTGTGCTTTCTGAGCCGCCTGAGAGACACAAAGTCATAATTATAGGCACAATGCTGCATGACTTCTTGTACGTTATTGATTCAATCAGGTATATTTATTATTATTATTTTTATTATTTTTTAACTCTTTAAATTATAAAAAAATTCTGAAAGAAATACATTGCTGTTTGTAAATTACAACTGTACTGTAAAATAAAAAAAATCTATATCAAATGTGATATTATAATAATTGTTTTATTTTACACCACAAGTTATAATACTAATATTTTATTTATTATTATTATTATTATTATTATTATTATTATTATTATAACAAATTAAGACAGAAATACATTGCTGTTGAAAATTGCATTTATACTGGAAAATAAAAAAAAATCTATATGAATGTGATATTATAAATATTTATATTTTTATATTTTTTATTGCACACTACAAGTAAAATTACTATTATTCATATCTTAAATCCTTAGCTTTTAAAATTTCAATCCTGTAAACTTTTGTCCGCAAAAATGTTAAAAATGCACATTTGTAAATATGAATCTGAAATATAATATGAAAGTTAGTGAATCTAGCACACGTTGCATTCCCAAATGCACATTAATCTCGCAGCTCATGCACAGATGTTCACTACATTTACAGTGAAGCACTGAGAGACACTGAAAACACTGTATTATAAGATGTGCGTGTGTAAATGAACACAGTGCCGAGCTTCACTGAAAACAGATTAGATACTTAACTAACTACAGCATATGATCGCTGTACTAAGCCAAGCTAAATCGCACTTAGATATATCACAATGTCAGTTTCTTTAGATTAATTGTGCAGCCCCATTTATTTATTTTACTGTTACATTTGATTTAATCAGACGTACCTGCTGTTCCTTCTTCAGCTGCTCCATGGCGAGCTGAAACTCTTGTTCTTTCTGCAGGGCTTCTGCGATGGTGGCCTGGTTCTGCTCCTCGTACGCCATGGCCACCACAGCCAGGATCAGGTTCACCAGGTAAAAGGAGCCCAGGAAGATCACCAGCACAAAAAACACCATGTACGCTTTTCCCACCGAGCGCAGCGTCTGTCAGCACAACAACAGCGTCAGATCACAACGGCTGCAAGAACTCGCAGATTACTTTATCAGTTACCGTTGAAGAAAAATGTGCAATATCTGTTCACAAGCTTGTAATTAGTGTCAGACAGATGCATCGGTCAGACTGATCAATCAAAGGCTATTCTAAAGTAATCTACAGTCAACTCTCAAAAACAGCCTAATCAATGGATGAAAACAGATGAATAAAGGCTTAATTTATACATACACTACCATCCAAAAGTTTTGCATCATTTTTGACATTTTGATGCCAAGATATAGACATAAATTACATTGAATTCTATATTTACATATTCACTACCCTTCAAAGTTTTGGGGTTTTTCTGCTCACCAAGGCTGCATTTATTTGATCAAAAATACAGTAAAAATGTGAAAAGTTATTATCATTTAAAACAGCTGTTTTTTATGTGAATATCTGTTAAAATATAATTTATTTCTGTGATCAAAATTGAATTTTCAGCATCATTACTCCAGTCTTCAGTGTCACATGATCTTCAGAAATCATTCTAATATGCTGATTTGCTGCTCAAGAAACATTTCTGATTATTAGCAATGCTGAAAACAGTTGTGCTGCACAATAGTTTTGTGGAAACTGTGATACATTTTATTTTTCAGGACTCACAGATGAATAGAAAGTTCAAAAGAACAGCGTTTATTTGAAATGCATTCATTTATAAATGTCTTTACTGTCACTTTTCATCAATTTAACGCGTCCTTGCTGAATAGAAGTACTGTATTATTGTCTTTCTTCAAAAAAATGTAAAAGAAAATAAAATAAAATTACTGACCCCAAATGGTAGTGTATGCATATAAATTATATATGTATACATTTTATGATAGTTTTTTATAATGAAATATTAAATATTTTATATTAAATACAAAACAAAATTGATTTGATTACATTTTTACTGGATTTAATGCATCCTTTACAAATAAAAATACTAATTTTAAAAAATACATCTTTTTAAGAAACGTATGTCATCCAGCTACCAATGAAGTTTGTAATGCTTGAGTGTGATGTAATGAGAGCGAACAGTCTACTGACGTGATGATAGAGGTTTTCCCAGTAATCTTGTGTCATGAGTCTGAAAAGCGAGAGAAAAGCCCATCCGAAGCTGTCGAAGCTGGTGTAGCCGTAGTTGGGGTTTCGTCCGGTCTTCATACATTCAAAACCATCCGGACATTTGCTGTGGAAAACAGGAATAAGCGGTTATTAGTGGCATCAGTCTGTTATTGTGTACAGGAAATGAGTTTGGCCCGCTGCCCTGTATATACAGGTGCATCTCAAAAAATTTTAATATTGTGAAAAAGTTCTTTTTTTTTGTAACTTATTTCAAAAAGTGAAACTTTCATATATTCTCGATTCATTACATGTAAAGTAAAACATTTCAAAAGTTTTTTTGTTTTAATTTTGATGATTAGAACTTACAGCTCATGAAAGTCAAAAATCCAGTATCTCAAAATATTAGAATATTTCCTAAGATCAATCAAAAAAATGGATTTGCAAAACAGAAAAGCTCAAGTTCTTTAAAGTATG